TTCCTGCTGCAAAAGGAGGAATGCCAGTCCCTCTGGTTAATGAGCAGAGGTATGAGAAATAAAACAGTGAGCAGGACCACTGTACTTTCTTGTTTTGCCCCAATTTGAAGCTAATGAAGCTGTGTACTGGGGTGTCAGCAGAAGAGGGGCTCAGAATGCAGTTGTTGGAGGTTGGGCTTGCAGCCAAACTATGAACTATTTTCAAGGTTTAGAAAAGGCTTTTTAATTAACAGTGACAGGTTTGCAGCAGTAATATATGCTCCAGCTGCTAGCTAAGGCAGTGCTGGACTGCTAGAAAGGTGTTCTCCCTATCCTTGTGCCAATATTGATCCAGTTCTTTGTGCTCCAAATGTATGCGGAGCAGCTTTTTACTGAAGACACTGCACTTTGCATAGCCTGCCCCTTTCTGTGGATTCCTTAGGATTGCTCTGACATCCCAGGGAGCTGGGAGAAGGGACTGTGTTTGTGAACACAATCAGGTATATGATACAGAGAAAATAATTGGGTATCTTCAAAAAGAATGGCAGAGGGCAGCTTTAAAAATGTATTTTATTCCTTCCATTGCTTATAATTAGGAATTCTTAAGGGAGACCTTTTCAGTTTGCCTGTCCATGTAACCCTTCTGCCTCTTTGAAGAATTGCTGCTTCTCCCCAACAGGGAAATCTCTCCTCACAAGAAAAGGGGAAAAAAAACCAAAACCCAACCACCTGAAAGGATAATGGTACACTCTGAAAGAAGCAGGATTTCATGTTATTCCCCAGTGTCTCACCATTCTCTGTCAACTCAATGTTACATTTACTTTGCTGACAGCCCTTGAAGGGAATCCTTGTTTTCCCAGGGAATTTATATTGGGTGTACATTATTCCACTAGCACTAATGACTCATGCTACAGAAATTCATGTTTCTGAATCTCGTGTCCCAGCCACGAGGGAGAAGGAATATTGTTCTGAGCTTCTGCCCTGTGTCTATGTGCTGAAGAGACTGTGTGAGCCAGCACAGGGATCATCAGCCAGGTGTGTCCCCACACACCTGGGGCAGCTCTGTGCCATGGCAAGGCCTGGCATGGCTTTCAAAGGGCAGCACTGGGAGCTCTGTCACCAGCATTAAAGGTCTGGTCGGTAGCAGGGATGGATTATGGCCTTGGTCTCTGCTGGTCACTTGTTCACTTGTGCCTTTCATTGGGGCTGTCATGTTTGGATGCCCTTCCTGCCAGCTGTGCAGTGGGGTCTGTCCTTGCAGCTCCTACTTTGCAGTGCTGTTAGCACCATTAATGGGCTGCAGTCCCTGGCTCTTCTTGAGATGATAAGTTTTCACTTAGAAGTTCAAGAAGGACTCAGTGAACTCATTCTTGCAGGAGATCCTCTCATTTTGCTGCAGAAACTTCTGTTAGAGTATGAAATGCACATTACTGATGTTTTTGTTTAATTAAGTAACTATTCAAAATCTGTCCAGCACATCCTCACTTCAGGGATTTGTTTCTGCATATATATTTCACCTCATTTTTATGACCCATTGTAGTGTTTTGTTAGTAACTTTTCCCATAGGTAGGTAGTGGGCTGACCTCACATGCTTTTGCAAATTGCCTACTTGTGCATTCACACTGAATAGAGGAAAGGATCTGTGACCTTGTTTTTATGTGCACCTCCATGGTGACAGTATTCTACATAGTTCTTTAACTTAAAATACTTAAAAAATACTTTTAAAACTGAGTTCCCAATGGTAAAATAAATCAGATAATTTCTCAATACCCAGAAATCTTTTTGAAACTTTTTTTTTTTTTTTTTCCCTCTCAGGTTTTTTATAGTGTTTTTATTCAGAGCAAACTTTTCAGTGCTAGTGAAAAAGCATAAAATCAGTAGCTTTCCAGATTTCACAGACCGGGCTTAGGATGAGTAGGAAATTAGCTTTGGCAACATGCTGAGATTAATTGGTGACTTGGATTTTGTTCCCTTTTTGTCTGGAACGGCTCCACTGCTGAGGCTGTAAGCAGGATGTTGGCTGTTCAGCATTTTGTTTTTTCCTGGGCAAGTGGTGTTTTTCCAACTAAGCCTGAATTGTTATAGTCAAGCCTGAGCTCTGACACAGATTCTTCATCTTATCCTTAGTCCTGCTGCTGTGATCTAAGTGGCCAGTTGCAGTTAAAGAAATTGTGTCACTAATTTTCCATCTGCAAGAATAGCTGAAGAAACAGTTGTCTTATTTACTGGTGGTGTGCCAGTCTGTGCATGTGATGCAGTGTCCTAGTGTGTTCTCTAGAGTTTGCACACCCACACACACACCCCTGTGGGGAGATCAGGATCGTGCTGCCTTCAAAAGCTCAACCAGAACTGCTGCAGTGTTCAGACCCAGCCTGTTCTGCTTGGGTGCTGAGCTGCTTCAGATTTGTAAAATAGGCCTTATTAGTATTTTTAGGCAATATTGGTGGGAAGAGGGTGTTGCATTATAACAGAAGTTTCCATGGATGCATTTTTTAGAGAGGTTATGAAATAACAGCGTTGTCAGAATGCTCTCGAGGAAGCAAGTTGTTACAGGCTGGGAAACAAAACCTTGCTGGTTTTTCACAGGCAGTAGTCTTGCTTGGAAGTCAGAGTTCCAACGTAGTCCATTTTTTGGGAGTGTTTACATCCTGATATTTAGAATACATACTTTTTAAAAAATTGTTCCATCTTTTTTTTTCATAAGACGGATTTCTGGAAATGTGATCTATTTTGACAGTAGAATAACTGGAGTTGCTGAATCGCCATTCCCTTAGGGGCTGGTTTATGGGCACTACTTGATGTTGTGGTCTATGTGTAATGCTTTTCTCCCTCCCTCCCTTGGCAGATCATCCCCCCCCACTGAGGGTTGATGACAGGCAGCGGCTGGCTCGGGAGCGCAGAGAGGAACGAGAGAAGCAGCTGGGTAAGGCCTGCTCTGCAGGGGTTTCTTATGGTTTGGAGGGGCTTTTATGGACAATCCTCTGCATCCAGTGTTTGGGCCAGTTTGCTGCTAGGAGCGTTCAGCGAGCTAGATATGCAGCCATGTCACTCCAGATAATCTATCACATTTTAAAATTAGATCTTAATTCATGATCATCTGGGGTTTCATCATTAACTATTCCAGTCACATACCTGTGTCTTACCTTTGTGAATGTGAATGGAAAGTGAGTTGGTTTCTGAAATCCTGCAAGGAAGCTTCACTGATGTAAATAGAATTTTTAAATTTTAGAGCCTTTTGAAGGTTAGACTTTGGAATATATTGAATGCATCTTTTATTGCTATAAAATAGAATTGCAGAATACGTTGCCAATGCATGGTTTGACTTTTTCTACATAAACTTGGATTTCTGTCAGGTAAAACCTTTAGTAGGTGTCAAATAGACATGCTCAATGTCCTATGAAAGTGTCCCCTGTGCAGGAGCAAGCATAGCACTGTTCAGGTGACTAGTGACAGTGAAGGTCACTTATCAAGCAGCTGGGGATGGGCAGTGTATGGAGCGTGGTGTGGGGAGAACCTGAGAGTTACATGAAGCCAAACTGGTGGTTTTCTGAAAACTGCTTTTATGTTTGGCTGCCTGAACACGCTGTGGCAGTTGGGAGGCAGGAGAGCACAGCAGTGGGGAGCACTTTTTTTATGTGTTCACGCTGATTTCTTTGGATGCTGCATTGTTTTTATGGCTGGAGAAGCAGAAGTTACTTATTTCCATTTTCCAGTTTCTGTAAGTTTATGCTGCTTTTTCTAATCTGGAGAGCCATGATATATTGCCATCTAGGTCTTAATAGCATTAATATCCTTCCTTCTTTATAGCACCTAATAACATGGTACCCTAAGTGCACCAATTAGTGGGGTTGTTCTGAAGGGGCAAGAAGAAAGCCTTGGATTTGGCTTGCTCAAGAGGGTAACGTAGCAGGGCATTTGCCAGTCCCCTAAAAGCTGCTGCTGGCGTTGAGGTTGATGGCAGGTGTAAGCTTAGTTTCTTCAGGTTCCAGAGCAAATGGAAGTTCCTGGCCATTTAAATTACTTTGTGATAGATGACAACTTTGAGGTCCTGAATTTGTTCTTTTTCCAGGGTTGATCCTTGTGTAGTAACAATGCTTTGCTCAAGTGCAGGGAGAGGTGCTTGCCTAAAGTTTTACTGAACTCTTAATTTTTTCTATGGATAAATGAATATCTGTTACTGGAAGGCCATGACTTCTGTTGAGGAAAGTGTCATTCTGTGTGACACATTTTGAAAGCAACATCAAGCTGTGGGGGTTAAGTTGATGTGGAGTTGTTCCTTGTGTAGCAGAAGAGCTCTGCTGTCCCTGTGGTGCAGGACTGTCCTGTGTGCTCCTGCATGAGGGGTTATTTGAAACTAACAAGAAACCTGAAAGTCGTGTTGTACTTTCATCTGTGTGTTTGTCTCCTAACATAATGACTTAGGAGCTGTCGCTTGAGATTTGTGTTCCGGAACAGCAAAGCAATGATTCTTACAGTGACATGCAAGCTTATTTTTTTTTAAATCCAGAAAGCAAATGATCAGTCACTCATGTCATGTGGGCCATAGCAAAGAGATGCCTAAGCTGTCTATCTTAAACATCAACTTGTAAAATGTTGTTATATAAATGTGTCTCACTGAAAATCAGAGTTGGATTTTGTTAAAACTGGGACGTCAGTCATGCATCAGTGAAACCGTGAAGGAGGGAAACTTTTTTAGATAATTAAGTTGAATTAATTCCTCCCCTTTAATGAGAGAGGAGAGTAGAAAAGATGAGTGCTGTCTCTTTTGTTAACTGGCTATATATAGAATATGTGTGGTGAGACTGTAGGTTTCTGATCTGTAGATTTCTGGATGTTTTATCTACACTAATCGTGCTTGAAGACTGACCTGTTTTAATCACAATTACGATCCTGACAAGGACATAAGGCTCGTTTAGTTTCTGGCAGTGGTAACAAAAGATGGTAGTCTTGTCATCTGACTTAACTCTTCATTTAAGGAAATGTGTTATTAATCTTAGTTTTTAGAATAGGACTGAGTTTCAGGTTGGCTAAATCTAATAAATTCTTAGTTCTTACAATGAATAAACATTAACATAATATTTTAAAGATCACATAGTGATGTGTGTTCCTTTTCCTTTTGAAAGTGATAGCTGGCAAAACATCCCATTAATAAAAATTACAATTTCTTTCTGTCAGTGAATTCCTTCTGGCTTATTCTCTTCACTGGCAGTTGGGGACAGAACTTTATCCAACATTTCCACAGTCAGCAGCCCCACAGAAACTCAGAATCATATGGATCATTTTTCAATGTCCTCAGAGGACTTGAGTGTCAGAAGGGTTGTAAGTCAAGGAAACCATTTTTAAGGAAGATTAGTTAAACAATTTCTGTGCTGAATGTCCCTCAACGTATGGTTACAGGGGAAAGGTTGGCTTCAGAATCTAACATGAATTTCAGCTGTAATTACAGCTCTGAAGTTCACCTTTTAATGAGTCCAGTCAGCCATTCCTGGGGCCTGACGGAACCCATTTTTAGGTATGGTTAAAGCATCACTGATCTGTTTTTCTGCTAATGCAGCAAGGAGGTGATCATGGTCTCAGAGCAGAGCTGGCAGTGAGAGGGGAGGCAGGGGAGGGAGCTACTGTCCAGAGCAGGGCTGCAGAGCCAGAAGAACAGGGGCTGGAAAGGCTGACAAGGACTTAAAGAGCTTTACCCAGGAAAGCTGTCCATCCACCAGGGATGCAAAAGACAGACTGAGGAAGTGCAGAGCTAGACCTGATCGGCCTTTATATGGGCTGTAAAGAAGACAGAGGAATGAAGTGAAGGGACAGCAAATGGGAGCTGGGGGGACCTGCCCATGGTGCATCTTCCCTCGCAGCCCAAAACCCCTGCAAAGAATGGGTTCTCTGTCTGTGGGCACAGCTGGGGAAACAATCCACAATTATTTCCTCAAGAAGCATAGTTAACACCTCCCATCTGAAATTAGTTAATTCTAGTGGAAACTGATTGGTTTCAAGTCTTACATGTCTCTTAATACTGGGATGTTTCTTTCTTGATTGACCTTGTTTTCTTTTGTTGTTACTCACTTCAGAGGTGCCAGAAATTCAGCCTTAATTATGTTGCTTTGTAATCTAATCCAGCATTACCAGTTTGCAAACAAGCAGAAGGTATTAACAGCGTGTCCAGAGCCCAATTTCTAAATCTTGTTTTTATGCTAATTTTGTGTCTGTGTATCACGTGACTGTGTTCAAATGTATAGATTGTACTAAGTAAGGAGAACAAGGGTCAGGTTGTGGCTTGGCTGTGTATTTTGCATCCTTAATGTAAATGTTCCTAGGCCATTGAAGCTTTTTCAGGATGCAGGTGCTATGTGAAGCTATTTCAGCTTTCTTTGGCTGGTTCTTGCGTGGTGTCAAGTAATGTGTGTGACCATGAAGTCAGCCCCAGGAAAAGTCTTTTTTTGGAGCTGCCCGTACTGGAGCCCAGCACTGGCTGAGCACTGGGCACAGCTGCTGGCACAGCTTCTGGAGCATCTTCCCCTTCCACATCCTACAAAGCAGCTGCTCTTCCAAGCTGATCAGACCTTTTAGAGGTGTCTTTGTTTCCTCAGGGCTCATCTGCTGATCCCTTCTGTTACAAGGCATTTGATGTATCTCTATGAAACCCAGCTCACTGTTCTTCTAGAAGCACACCTACCTATTCAGAATATAATACCCCTAATTGTTACCTTAGGGTAGGCTTTTTTAACCCTTGAGTAAACTTCTTAATTTCTGTCTGGAGTAGCAGGACAAAAGTTTCCACAAATTCATAAATAGGGACATGAGAATGAAATAGATAGTTTATTTTAAGGTAGTTTTTTGTGTTTTTTTTTCCTGAAGGAAAAACCATGTATCTGAGGGCAGTGGCTTCTGTCACTGTATATACCTACCTTGTAGATGGCAGAAAACTGAGCCCTTAGGTTCATGCAAAAATGTCAGTAGTGTGTGTAGGAAGCAGTGGAAACAAAGCAAATATTCTCCTTTGGTTCTCTAATAAAAAGAAAATGTAGGAATTAATACCTTGAAAAAATCCAAAATGTTAAAGCACAAATTATAATTTCCCTATTTGTAGAAAAAGTTAAATTAATGAAAATAGATGTTGCACTTTTTCTCAGAAAACAGATGTATAATGAATCCTGCTTTTATGTGCTAGTTAAATATTTCATCATTAGGGTCTGTATGTAAGTGACATACTTTTAAGAAGAAGACAGGGAAGGCTTTTAATATTTTTTCAGGATCCATTTCTGTGACATCTAGAGATAAATAGTAAAGACTGGAAATTAAGACTAATTGTTACAGTTCGTGCGTGTTACAGTCAGTCCATAAAATCCTGCAGCTTTTTAAAGGTGAAGTCTTACAAGCTCTGTGTCTCTCTGTATCTGCACAGTGATGTCTGTAGGGCTGAAACATTTCTGGGTCAGAAATGAAGCAGAACAACAGACTCAAATAGGAAACTATTCTGAGGACGAAATTTAGTGGGAGAAGCTTCACAGGAAGTAATTATACAGAAAGGAGAGGGGGAGAGAGTGATATCATATCCTCCAGGGATGGCATTTAACAGTTATTTAATGTTCCTGCAGTCCAGCACTAATGGACAATTATTTGAGGAAAAAGAGGAAGATAAAAACCTAGTGTTGAAATGGGAAAAATTATTCCAAGTATTGTTTTGTTCACATTGTATTATTAGTTCTGTTCAAATTTGCTTTTATGAAGTAAAGTATTTACTGGTTAAGGTCTGTAAACTCAAGCTCTGAGTGTCTCTTTCCTCCCTTCTATGTCCTCATGAGGAACAGGCAGGACCTCCCAGCCTCACTGTGCCTTTTGTAAAACTTGGTTGTCAGACGGGTGTTCTGTATGCAGTGATGGGTTTCTGGATGGAGGAGAAAGAATTTGTTTTTGGAGAAAGTATTCTAAGCTAGGAGTATGACTTGTCAGACAAACAGCAGTGCTCAAAGCAGAACTGCAGACCCTGATGGGGAACCAAATTTGTCTTGTGTAGTGCTTCCTGATTTGTCTTGATTAGCACTTCTGAAGCATGTAGCTTCAGCTTACATGGCAGACTAAACTCACCTTTAGATTGGCTGCTTTTGTGGGCAATTTCTTTCCCTCTGGGCAGCTGTAGGCACTGCTGACAGTCCAGGTGCTAGAGTTGTCATCAGAAGGGATCCAACAGGAAAGGTGCATCATGGTAATAGTTGTATTGTTCTTTTTATTATCTTCCTTCTTGCAGTAAAAGCTTACAGAGAATTATCCTGGTTTGTATGACAAAAGTGTATTCACATGTACCCGACTTGAATATTTAGGTATTGTAAACTGACCGTTCTTCCACTTGGAAACTGTGTGCTCAACTAATTGAGCTGTTTCTGGTGGTGATTCATAATTAGGAAATAGAGATGAAATGAATGTGCGACCAGGACACACGGTATTTTAATACATGAGGAGAGATCAGGATATTACATAAGTCTTCTTGAGAAAATGAGTTCAAATGTTTTTCCATTTAGTTTGGTTATTCCAATTGTATTACAGAGTTCATCACATATAGCATGTTAATACTTCTGATTTTTCTCACAGCTGCAAGAGAAACAATCTGGTTAGAAAGAGAAGAGAGAGCCCGGCAGCATTATGAAAAACACCTGGAGGAACGCAGGAAGAAACTGGAAGAGCAGAGATTAAAGGAAGAGAGAAGGCGAGCTGCTGTGGAGGAGAAGCGAAGGCAGAGAATAGAAGAAGACAAGGTAAGAATAAATGTCTTGAGCACTTTTCAGCTTGCTTTTACTGTAAGATGCAGTACTATCAATCTTTTTATTTAGGAGTTGATAGAATGCAACATAAGCCATGGTTAGTACAAAAGAGGATTTTAAGCCTTATTGCACAGATACTGCTTCTTAAAGTGCCCCTTATGACTCAAACACAGCTGAGTGTATCTGGATTAGAGCAAGAACACATGAAGAAAAATATGAATTGGGTCAATTTTATAAGTTTGTCTGTTAATTCTTAGCCATTCAGTGTTAGGGTAGCTAAATATTAGTTGCCCTAACAAAACCTTTAAGAAGGTGTGTACTGAAAGATGCTCTTGGCTGGTTTGTCTCAGCTACGCTGGAACTGTGTGCAGTTGCTCCAGAGTAGCAGCTCATCCTTGTGGTGTTTGTGGCTCATCTTTCTCCTGTGGTCTTAGTAGGGCGAGACTCAAGGTGGGAAGTAGCCCTAGGATGTTTTGTGTAGTGACTGCCATAGCAGGACCACTGTTTTCTCTCTGTAGTTTTGCAGGTCTCAAACAGATCAAAATTACAGTTAATATTTTAACTTATTTATGGCTTAATTACTGCTTAATCCTATCCTAGAGTTAGGATGGTTCCTCTGAGTATGTGTCTTAGGCAGCAGGTAAGCTGAAACACAGCTCTGAGATGCCTGCTGGCTTTTGTCCATGTGGAGGCTGAGGCACTTGTTGAGGACATGAGGGTCAAAACCCAAAATGAGCCAATGTGTTCTCCTGTTGTACTTCAGGAGCGACATGAAGCTGTTGTTCGTCGCACGCTGGAAAGGAGCCAGAAGCCAAGACAGAAGCAGAACAGGTGGTCGTGGGGAGGAGCCCTGCAGAACCGCATGAGCAGCACAGGTAATGGGGCTGGTGTGCTGGTCAGGGTCCTGCCTGGCCAGCCAGCAGGATTTACTTTGCTTCTGTTGAAGGGGAGGATGATGCAGTGTGTGCTTCTTGGTATTCTTTGTTCTTCATCTTGTAATTGCTGGCAATGTTTCTGATGTTGGTGTGTAGCAAAAAGATCACAAGGAGAAATCTGAACAGAAGTTAAAACTTGCTTCAGGAGTTGATTAATTCTACAGCTATCTTGCTTCAGCTTCTCACTTCAGCTGCTCTGCTGTTTGTGTGTGGGTGTGCTTGTGCTGTATCAGTCCTGTGTTCTGAGCTACTGTGTGCAAAACCTAAATGCTATGGCTCAAAAAATAGGTCTGGTGGAAGTAACCAAATACTGAGATTAAAACAGACACAAGGAAGAAAAACGGATCTTTGTAATATGCTATCTGTACTGTGTACAGATATTTTGGGAGAGAGAAGCCCCTTTTTTCTCCCCTAGGAAAACTTCAAGATCGGCAAATGAAGTGAATTTTTGCTATTTGCTTTTCCACCTAAATTATCTTCTCTAACTTAATCTGTGAATCATTAATGTGTATGTGACCTGTTAAATATGACTCAAGTCCAAAAACAGAACCAGTTCTTCATTTATTTCACCAGAAAATGGTACTTGGGATTCTTATTTTCCTACTCTAATGTGTGCATTTCAATGTGTCCAAGCTTTCATCAAGGAGGAAAAAGAAAGTTGAGAAAAGAATGTTCTGAAGTCTGTTATATATAAGTTCAATAAATAGTTATTTTTTCAGAAGGTGTTACTTTTTTGCTTAACTCTGTATAACTTACTTGATTTTTATTTTCTTTATTGTGAAAAAAATCATTGTCTTGCATTCTGTCCCTAGGTTATTTTTTTGAATCATCATTCAGCTTTCTCGATTTAGCAGGCCTGGAGCACCACTTCAGATCTCTGGGTGGTGCTAGAAAACCTGGTACATAATTGCTGTGGTTTGTTGATTCCTTTACCCATAGCTAGTTCTCAGGAAATGAGATCACCAGTAACTAAACCACCCTCATGTAGTTGCAATGCATGCTTAACATCATGCTGATAGATGAGAACTCTTGGTAGTACCAGACTTTTTCATTACTATTTATTTTTACTATGGAGAGTTACTACTGGCTGACTTCAAAGATTTGGCACAATTCACTGAAATGAAGCATAATATTCTGTCTGTGTGAAGTCAAGGAGACCCTATAGGAGTATTTTTGTCTTTTCTAAAACCTGTTTGGCATACTACAGATACACTGGATTTACAATGATTTTGCACCTGAACGAAAAGTGTAACCATATGCATTGGCTGATGTGTTGCTCATGGGTGTTCTAATGCTTCTTTTTAGAACGAAAACCCAGCAATCTTTTAGGCAGTGGGTTGCATTTGGCCTGTTCTACATTTGTAGGTTTCATATGGTCAACACTTACACACAAATCCTCATGCTGAATTTCATTCATTTAAATAATGTTCATTGACACAGGAGAAATGTTGACATTCCAAGGATAAGAGATCATTTTTTCATGTTACCATTTTTCATCTTCAGAAAGCTGTTTTGTGCAGTACATCTGTTACGGCCAGTATAGAAACTTTTTGTGCTGTACTGATATACCATAGATTTTTTTCAGCTATAGATTAGGTATGAGAGATCCAAATCCCCATCCCATTCCCACAAATATCATTCTGACAAGAATTGGTGACCCATGGAGCCCGAGTGTCCTGTTTCCAGCATGGGACCTACATGGTTCCTAGAGCTGGGGAGAGTAGAAGTATTTTTCATGCACCGTATTTCTATGCAAATATTCTCTACAGGGTGAGGGTACTTTAGCCCCTGAGTCAGAAGGGGTAAATCCAATGTTGGTATACTTGTCAGAAGTAAACAGTGGCAGGTAGTATTTCAGCAAGCTCCTCCTTAACATTGTCAGCATCCTGAGTGTGTCTCTGCTTCCCAAGCAGCACACGGGCAGGTTTCTGCACACCCAGGTGTGACCCAGCAGAGCGTTCAGGCACGTCCTGCCCCGTTGCCTTTCAGCATGGGTGGATGTGTTGCTGAGTAGCACTGCTGGTCCCTGCACACTGAGATACAAGCAGGAGCAGAACTGACTCTCCCAGTGCCTTCTTCATGTCAGATTTCCAAATGCAAGTTTGCAGTGAAGGAGGTGTGGTTGATGGATGTAGTTTTTGGGTTTGGTTTTCTGAGAGGCCAGAAGGCACGTAGCTGGTCTGTGCAGCTCATCCCTCCTCTGCCTCTGCCAGCACCTTGCACATGGCACACACACGTGCACAAGGTGTGTGATCTGTGTGCTTGGAACAGCCATCGCCCCAGCAGGGTGCAGGCACATCATGTCAAACTGCTCTGAAATGCTCTAAAATAGACTCTTACAGCAAAATAAACCCCTTCAGAACTACACACCAAGCACATGCATGACAAGTAGCCTCCAGCCTTCCCCAGAGACTTGTTTTCTGTCTGCTGAGCTGTCTGGGATTGACTAGCTGCTGTTTCTTTCACAGCAGGTAGAAAATGTCTCTGTGGTAGGAAGTTTAGCACTTGCACAGAACTAGGGTATTTTAACTAAATCTTTTAATTCCTTCTGTGCTTACCCTTGCTTCCCTTGTCCACTAGTCTTCTCTTAACCTTTCAGCATTGTATTGTCATTATATTGACCTTCTGACTAGTGACAGTGCCCAAATCTACCCTTTTATTCAGTTGCTAAGGGTTTTTTTTTCCTAAATAACCTGACATTTCCAAGCATGTTGATCCTCCCCTGAAGCTTTGTATTGAAAACCATGAGCAAATTTTTTTTGAGAATATTAAAAGGAAAGAGGAAATAAAATCTTGTCAACTAATATCCACTTTAGATCCTCCATTAAGTCCTAGGCTGCAACCTGGTTGGATGATAATCAATGAACAGAATATTTTAGACACTTGAATTAAATGGTTTTGTGCCCAGTCTTTGAGTCACCTGTACAGCATCTGCTGAGAATGCCATTCTATTTGGAAAGTTCTTGTGGTAGAGCAGGAGTGACCTAGTCATGTTTTCCTCCTCCCACTAGTGACCTAGGAACTGGCACTGCTGCATGTGGGCTGTCAATTAGCATTATCTCCATTTGTTTTAGATCCAGACAGGCGGTCTGTTTCTACAATGAACCTTTCGAAACATGTTGATCCAGTCATTAACAAGCGGCTCTCCTCCTCATCTGCAACATTACTAAATTCTCCAGACAGAGGTACAGTTTCAAAGAGAAAAAGTAAAAAAAAAAAAAAAAAAAATAAAACCAACAAAGAAACTAGTTTTTTTCCCACAGATAACCTAAACACATGAGATAAAAAACTACATAGGCACAGATAGCAGAGCAGTCTCTTAGCCAAAGAGTAAATCTCCTCTCCTGATGTCAACTGAGATACATTCCCTGTTAAAGTTCAAAAAAAAAAAAAAAAAAAAAAAAAAAAAAAAAAAAAAAAAAGAGCAAGAAAGAATGTTCTGTATTGATGTATTACTTAGCACGTGAAACAAGCTTCTGAAGTCGTTTTCCGTACTTCATCTAAGTGGGAGTGAAAAAGGCTTCACATGTGAAAAGTAAATAGTTGAACATTTTTTCCTGTGAGAAGAAATATATATTTCATGTTTTTTAAAACAAGAGACCTTACCTAAACAATCGTGCTTTAGCAAATGATAAAAGCAGTGCTTCTGTCAGGTCTTTAGTAAATGAGGTACAACTACGAAACAGTGCATTGCTCCATAGTGCATGCAGTCATGTGGGACCTTTTATTTGCGTTGGGCCATTTTAACATTATTTTGTTTTCCTTTCTTTAGCAGTAGTTCTTGAGTATCTAAGAACATTTTGCATGAAGCTTTCAAGCAGTTATTTTAGTACCATTTTTAATTATTTTTGTTGAAGAGATACTGGTGTTTTTCATATGGACTGTTCATTGACTTTTTGTGTCCAGTTACTTTTCAAAGATTGCTTTTTTTCAGTGTGTGTTTTTGGTGTTTACAACTCTGCACAAAATCAAGCTTTTAAAAATGAACATAGCTGAATCACTGCCTCTGTTCTGAGGATTTATGAGATTGAAGCATTGAGATTAAAGGAGTTTTATGACAAAACAACTCTTGTTTAACTTGTGCAAAGAGCTTTACAGAAAAGTACTCGGTAGGGATTTTTTTGTCCTCTACTAAGAATGAGTAGTTCTGTCCCATTTCAATCCTGATAAATGCATGTTTTCAAAAACAATTTTTAGAATGGAATTTTGGTTGTGTTGCAAAACTGATTACTAGATGTGATTATTTGCATATCTTAACCAAGTGCTGTGTTTTATGTATGCTTATGTATGTCTACCTGGTGGATTTGATGAGCCATGTTAATCCTAGTGGGCTAACCTAGTCATAGAGTCTGGTAACTTGAAAAAAAAAAAAGGATTCTATTAGAAAATAATTTATTCCAAAACATTGTTTGTTCTAAAAGCTGAAATCCCATCAGTTTTAGTTCTGTTACTTATTTAGGTATATATATCTTTTTCTGGATGGTTGCTGTTCTTTGCCAAGGGATGCTTCTTTGAGGAATGATCTTGGGGTGGGTGGGGAAGCCAGCAGCAGGCAGTAAGTGTGAAGGATTGTCTCTCCTGGACTGTAACTGGTTATGTGATAGTTTCTGCCACCCATTTCAAATTCAGGAGAAGTCAGACTGAGTAGTAGGCAGTCTAGTGGTGGGGAAAGGGAAGTAATATGGAAGTGATGGTCATACATAAAGAACTTTAAATGCTGAGGCATTCTTTGCTTTGCATTTTTATTAAAACCATACAGAAATCTTCAGAAGTCTCATGTCTTTCAGACTCCAAGGCAGAAAACAAATCCAAAAGCCTTACATGCCCTTTACATGTCCCCATGTGCAAAGTCAGTTACCTACCTATAGTTGAGCATCTCTCCAGGGAAGTGCCTCTGGTCTTTCCAGGGGCCTCAACATCTTAAGACACAGCTTCAAGGAAGGCTGTAACTGTTTCCTCCCCTTCTCCCCTTCCAGAGGGCACTTTGTCATGTCAGTCACACTGTGTCATGCATTTCCTACCTGCAGAGCAGTGAGCTGGAGATGAGGATGATGAGCTTACCCTAAGTGGCTTATAGCTGTCATCAAGAGCATATCTTCTGTTAAGCAGCATTTGAAGGACAGAATGTTATTTTATTTTGGCCCAGCAAAAGACAAAAGCTTTCATTAACTAATTGGCTAAAGACTGGTTAATTACTTTTCAAGTGTAGTATTGCTATCTAACCCTTTTTCACAGTTATTCATCGGGCAGCCAGAACAGGGTTCTCATGCTTTTATGTTAGTGGAGCAGGTCTGTGTAGTTGAAACTGTAACAAAACATGAACACTTACTCAAGTGAAGAGAGCACCTCTTGACCAATAAATTTTGGTGATTGTGCTCTTTAAGGAAAGCTTAGCAAGGGGATAATATTTTGGATGAGGTGTGAGTTGCATACTTTATTAGTTTTGAAGAGCAAAACTTGCACCATATTTGTGTTCCTCCTCTGCAGTGCTTTTGCACAGAATTTTCTGGTTGGAAAAGACCTTTAAGGTCACTGAGTCCAACCATAACCCAACTCTGCCAAGTCCAGTGCTTAAACCATGTCCCTCAGCACCTTATCTATTAAAACACCTCCAGGGATGGCGATTGAACCACCTCCCTGGGCAGCCTGTGCTAGTGTTTAATTACCCTTTCAGTGAAGAAGTTTCTTCTAATATCTAATCTAAACCTCCCCTGGCACAACTTGAGGCCATTTCCTCTTGTCCTATTGCTTGATACCAGGGAGGGGACCAACCCCTGCCTTGCTACAACCTCCTTTCAGGCAGTTAATAAAGTTTTTCTTTCAAATAAGTGATGGTTGCAGTCACTGCATCACCTTTGTCCGTCACTTACATGGAAGAAATGCAAGGGCTCAGGTAGTGTTTCCTGTTGAAAGGGAATCTAAGCATGGAGTAGTTTTTCCTCATCTACTCCCAACACATTTGTTGCTCTGTGTGAGCAAACACCAGTTACCAGAAGGTCTCCTCCGTGGTGCTCATCAGGAGGCCTGTTAAATCCCTGTCTCCCATCTGTTGCCAGAACTGATCAGATGCTGCTGTTTGCTTACTTGCAGTTCATTCTGCTGCTGCTAAGACAACTTTTCTGTGTTCAGTTTGTGTATCCTGAAGACAAATAGAGATTATTGTAATCAATTCACTGTTGCCAGCTTCCTGGGACTTTATGTGCTTTTCAGTTCCAAGTTGGCTATAAAGATCTTTGATCTGTTTAATCCAACCTGCTTCTAGCTGGGGCAGGGGTAACTTGCACCAGCAGCTCTGTCACAAATGTGCTTCCTGTGTGGAAACAAGGAGTACACAGCCCTAAGAGTCATAGATTAACACAGCATGAGAAAAAAAAATGCCATTTCCCCTGTCTGTCAGAAAGTTTGAAGGACTAACCTTGAAGGCTCCACTCTAAGGCTTCAAAAAGGAAAAGAGGAAAAAAAATACCCCACAAACAGACCCCATTGTTTTAAAGCCTATCTCATTTTGAGAAGCTCTTTATTTGTATTCAGGATGGTTCAGTGTGAGTTGGACACCAAAGTGAAGCTGTTGAAAGCGTGTAGATGCTTGGACTGTTGTGCTTGGAACTCAGGGGACGAAAGCTGGTCTTGTAGATGCTTGGACTGTTGTGCTTGGAACTCGGGACGAAAGCTGGTCGGCTTGTAGGTTAAAGGTGGTGCCAGTGACTGTTGGAATGTGTGTTGTAAGTGTCACACAGGCTGCTTTCAGGGAGCTGTGTGCTTGGAAAATTCAGTGTGTGATGACCTTGACCCACAAGGCCAAGGTGCCTTTCAGTGAACTCTAGTCTAAACCCCTTGTAGAGATTTAGGGAGACTCGACTGCAGCCTCGGGGTAAAACTTCTGAATCCAGGTTGATTGCCTGTATGGAGAAGGAAGTTGGTGTCTCTGAGCTCCCTGCTGGCACATATCAGCTAGTTTGCTCCCAAGCTCTGCCTCAGTGCTCCTAGGGGGATGCTGTGGGCACAGGGCTGCTTCCCTTAGGTGATGTGGATGGAAGTTCCCCCGTGTCACTGAGACCACAAAAATGAGTCTATTGTCCTGTAACAGCAGCTTCCAACAGTGACCACCCTGAGCATGGTGAAGAAAGGGAGCAAAGATGTTACCATTACTGCATGCAGTGTGATGGTAGTTCTGTGATTTTTCTTCACTGTTAAATTACAAGCCTAATGCTGTCCTGGGGTCTCTGTAGGCTGTTTTGTGTCCCTGTAATCTGTACCAGTGCAGAATGGGACCATTAATCACAAAGCTCTGGCAGCAATACATTGTGCAAGGACACTTACCCTGCTGTGTTTGAGAGTCCTGTATTTCTGTAGTAATGCCCCTTATTGAGTTAGCAGAATTTAGGGGAGCAATTTGAGAAGTGAAAAACAGTACTGAGAGTGGATTAAGCAGTTACGTTTTTATAGGATGAGGTGGAGATCAGCCCCTCTTTTCATGGCACTCAGCATGGAGTAGATTAAAGACAGATTCAGAGTTTATGGCTATTAAAAGTGATGGATCTCTACCTTTAAAAATGCAAATTAATCTCAGGTTTATTACAGCCAGTCACTTCAATGAATGTTTTAGAGACTAAGCCTCATAAATTCAAGCTGCAGTTCTGTTGCTGTGAACACCAAACTAAGGCATATGAATGCTGAGAAGACCTGATTTCACTTGCAACATGAGGATTTTTGCTATGGTTTAAGCTTGTTATAATGGACTACTATGAGACCTAGTTAATTATTTTGGTTTGTGATGCTCATTATAATACAATTTCTTGCATCAGAGTATCGAAGAAACACCTACTTCAATATAAAAAATAACTCAGGTTTCTTCCAGCTACAGTTCACCATGATCAGTGTTTAACTAGTATTTCTTTTAAAAGTAAAGAAATTTTACAAGGTGAAAGAAATATATTGACAATGTAAATTTGCATTGGGCAATATTGGGAAAAGCGTGGCAAGGGAGTGAAGGGCAGGTGAACGTGTAGTGTGTTTTAAAAACAGACTAACTGCAAAAAGCTGGTGCTTGTTACTGTTCTAAATTGAAATGTATCATTAGCATGTTTTTTGACAGAGAATTAGTGATCAAATGTACTTACTGTATTCTTGGCTTCTGTGTTACTGAGACAACTGTAGCTCCTGAGGTTGGTACCTCAGGATGTGTATCGTAACCTTTTGGGATGCTTTGACAAAACCTCTTTCTTTGGCACAATTCTCTGTACAGCAGTGAACAACCTTCTCTGTTCTTTTCTTGCTAGGCTGGAAGACTCATGAAGGTGTTTTAGTAATGGGTCTTTTTGTAACTATGTACCTTATGTATAGAAAGAATTTGGGACACAAACACCTCAATCAAAGCCTTTATTTAGGAGCAGCAACTGCTCTCCTAGCACAGAAGTTATTCTGTCATTCCCAACAGGGAATGTGGCATATGTGCAAAATACCAGAATTAATGGATAACAATTTGCCTTGATGCCACAAGCAGTAACACAGATTGGATGTTCAGATATGTGTGTTCCTGTAGGAATCCTCTGCTAAAATGGATTAAGAATAAAAAGCAAAACACTGAATGAATAGTTATATGCTTTCGGTCTTTATGTGCAAAATACCAGAATTAATGGATAACAATTTGCCTTGATGCCACAAGCAGTAACACAGATTGGATGTTCAGATATGTGTGTTCCTATAGGAATTCCTCTGCTAAAATGGAGTAAGAATAAAATGCAAAACACTGAATGAATGGCTATATGCTTTCGGTCTCTGAAGGAGTGTCAAGGCTGTCATGGTATGCAGTAGTGAGGAGACAATACTAATGCTTCTGCAACGTGGTGTTTTGTGCAGTGTTCGGTCTAACATCTTGCTTGTGTGGTGCATGTTCAGCTCGCAGACTCCAGCTCAGTCCCTGGGAGAGCAGCATTGTTAGCAGGCTGCTGACGCCCACCCACTCCTTCCTGGCCCGAAGTAAAAGCACAGCTGCATTGTCTGGAGATGCAGGTAAACCTCTAAGAGCAGAGGCTTCGTGTCTCACCCACTTATTTTCCCAGATTCTTTGTTGTAATGTGATTGATCTAATTATGAGTGTATCGCAGAATAAGCTTGAATGACCACGATTACACGGTGTCACAGCACAAAAGCTTTCGTGTGCACTTGTTCACTGTGCCTCTTGCTCTTTCTCCCATCACCTCTTTCTTCATTTCTTTTTTTCCTTACCAATGCAATAAAGGACCCCAACACACATGGGACGACAATGCATTGCTTAGGGAAATGCCCACAGTGCTGCAGGAGCTAGTGGAGCACACCCACTGCTGAGGCTGAGAGCTGCTGGCTGCAAAAAGTGGTGTCACTCTGTCCCAGGGCACTTCACATGGGACACGTGGGACTGACAGCAAGATGGGCCCTGGCTGCCCTGGGCTGAGCAGCACCTGAGGTGACATGTGCAGGTCTAGTGAGGTTACAATGATTGAGAAGCTCTCTCATGTCCCACTGAGGGGAGAATTAATGTGCAGAAATGTGAAAATACTGCTAGGTGGTGATTTAAAGCCCAGGCTTTACTCTAGGCACCCAGTTAGCCTGTGCTTTAGGCAGGTGGCAGCTGCCTCTGCTTTTCTCCTGGAATGTTTATCATCCTGCACTGGGGACTTTGCCATCGCAATACGATGTTGCACACCCTGAGTGTCTGAGCCTGGGCAGGTCTTTCCTGTCTGACATGGGCAGGATGGTTATTCTAATTAAAGGATGTAGAAGGTAAGAAGGAATAGAGGTCTGCTATGATTACCTTTAAAGAAGCTTTCTCTTAAGAACTCTTAGAACTAATTAGGCTGCAGTACATTTCCACAAGTGTAGTGCTGTAGGAGCAAAAAAAGTGGATATTCTGCAAGCAGTGGCATTAACAAGTACAGAATTCCTTTTCACTCTTCACAAATGACAGCTTGTAAAATGAATACTTAATGCCATCTACCAGGCAGGACATTGGAAATTTAGCTCTTCATTAGGGGGAATACTTGAGAAAGCAGTGACTTAATTTTGTAAGTGGTTGCTTTACTGGAGCAAGGATGAAGATTTTGTTGGTGACTGCTTTTGTTTCTGCTGTGCAATAAGCTCTGAGTGGAATACTGAGGAAGATTGCAGGCAGCAGGAA